TTTTTGTGTCTCACTCCAGATAGGCTTTGGTTTTCACTACAATAGTAATGTGGTGCACTGGAGTTTTAAGAAACGTATCTCTATCTATTTCCTGGTCTCCCTCACAAAATATAAATCACCGCTAACATTGCTATTACAGAATGAAACTCAGTGCCTGTTGAACTCAAGGTTACACTTAACCTATCTTTGAAACTCATTTTGTGTAAATAAAACATAATATTAAATAAAATAGGAGGAATTCACTAAGATGAACAGGAATGCTTAGGAAAGAGCTCAGGGTACATGAACTGGTTCCTAAGAAATGAGAGAACACCTCCTGTTTCTTGTGGAAAGCTGCTCTCTGGAAGCCGGCCTTCTCACCAGGGGCTCAGCAGCTTTCTGGTGGCATATCCTGGTCTCAGAAAGATCTTTCTAAAATGCCTTGTTTAGTTCTCTGTCTGGACCTACAAGGTATCCAGAATCTCCCTCTTTTGCATGGTTACCAGCTGATCAGGCAAAGAATACCGCTTTGTGCACGTGTATCATCTGTCTTGTTCAGCAGCTCTCCGATCCATCGTTCCCTTGTATGTCCTTTACTTCTTTTCACAAGGGACACATAAAGAAGGTTAAGACCTGATCTGGGGACTGACATTCACCGGTACCCATGTAACCTGCTAATTGCTTTGTTGGAAATCTACCTACCACTGGAAAAAAGAGTAACTATTCACTGCTGTAGTCAGAACTTTTCTTCTTTATTTCCCTGGCACAGAGCTTGGCGATGTTTTGGTAGCTGTTCCAGGGTTAATTGTCTTTCTGCCCAACCAGCCGCTGTTAAATGTTGGCTCTCGAAGGCTTTTCCTTTGCCCATTAATCTCAGATCTGGTGAGGCCAGTAAGGCAGTGAGGTGTGCATCTCTGTTTTTACAGTGCTAATGACAGACTTGTAAGGGGGGGGGGAGGCTGTTACTGGGGTTTTGCTATAACACTGGCTCTTTTTCCTGTGCATAGCTATACTTTGACGTGGTATGCTTGAACTTACAGATCAAAGAGAATTACCAGAATGATCCGCTTGTGAATTGCGGGCCATTATCTGTTATTAACTCATCTTGAGCACTGTGGTGAGCAAACTGTAATTTACAGTATGTTATTACATTTCTGCTCACTGTGGTGTGCAGCAGCTGAATGTGTGTGTGTGATAGCCCATAACGAGAAGTAATCTTTTCTAGCTAATTCAAAGAGGTCTTTGCCAACCTCTACTAAGGTTGAACAAGAATTTAATTTACTTCTAATAATTTTGTTTTTCTGCTTCCTGCCCCTCCCACCACATTTAGGAGACGAGAAGGTTTCACCTTCTCTGTTTCTCTTCAGTACACGCTTGCTTCCAGGAAAACTTGGAAGCGCAGCAACAACCTCCTCCAGTTCTCTGCCAGATTTCCTTCAGGATTTAATGATTCAGGTGGCTTCATTTGCGAAATTTTTGCCAAAAAAAAGTAGTTCTCTACTGACACCATATAATAAAGTTGAGCAAACAGGAGGGCTGGTAGGAGACTTATTTTTATTGCCTGGCTCTAGTCACGTGACAGCTCAGATTACAAAATACTAATACCCCTGCCAACTCTCAGGATCCACCAATTCCTCTTGCTACTGTTTTAATCCAACCTGTCTTTTCTTTTTTTTCTCCCCCCCCCCCCCCCTTTTTTTTTTCTGAGGGCAGGGGGTGAAGGGGAAGGCATTAGACTGGGGCAGGAGATAGAGTGAAAGGCAAGTATATCATGATTGGGAGTATCCCTTTAGCTCCTTCAGTGTTTGTTCAGCACTTTTTCGCCAGCTGAATAGCTTATTCCCTCTGAGTGTTGGCAGCCTTTGGCAAAAGTAAAGCAATGTCAGCATTCCCCTGTTCCATCCATTTTTTTGAAAAGAATCGTTAAAAATATTCCATTTTCACCTTGTTTGTAAGTTGTGATGAAGGCTTCTCCCCCAATTAAATTGTGACATTCTGGCTTGAAAAACAACTTCAAGATCAGGAAGATAAGCTAACACACACACACACACACACACAAATCCTCCTTCTTTCTTACGGAAAGAAGTTCAGCAATCCAGTGGAGCCACTTCTTTTATTAGCAGTGAGACAAATATATTTTCAGAAAAATTGCTGATAAAACAACCGATTTGAAAAATGTAAACGTTATGCAACTCTGGAGTTCTTCACAGTGGTTTCCCCTTTGTCCCTTCTTCTGGCATACAGCAGAACCAGCAGCTTTGGTGTTAGGGGTTCCTGCGAGGAATCTACCCAGATAGGTAGATGCCCAATATCTTTGTACAGTCTCTGATGCCACCGATACCTCAGCTACATTAAGGTGGGCACGACTATGTCCTCAGCGTACCGAAGGCACACCTCAGCAACAGAAGTAGCTCCTAATAGTGGGTTGAGATTTTTGTGCAAAAGGGGAAAAAAAACTCCACGGTGCTCATCCCACAGGCATTGATGCTTTTTGTTGCATAAAAGGTATAGAGAACAACTACGTATCTTTCTCCACC